GGTAGAACCAGTGACAAATTCCTGTATCTTCTCAGATAATATCGTGATTGAAATAATAAGTGTCTACAGATGAGTGAAAAGCATATTATAGCCATGTATAAGAGAAGGAGAGAGCTTATAGAGGAGTTGAAACTGAATCTAAGCCTCACCCTGTAATGGTAGAAGTACCATGAAATTGGGCAACTAAAGGCAAGCTGAGAAAGCATCATTGCCCTACGGGACTCAGAAAAGGAGGCTCAGTTAAGGCTGATGATAGCAGAGTAAATTATCTTCCTCACTGCTCAGACTAAGGCCTTGGCTATACTTGCAAGTTAGGCTGATGATAGCAGAGTAAATTATCTTCCTCACTGCTCAGACTAAGGCCTTGGCTATACTTGCAAGTTAGAGTGCATTAAATCAGCCTTGGGCACCCTAACTCCTGAGGTGTCCACACTGGCAAGGCACTTAGAGTGCCTGGACTCTGCAGCTGGAGCACTCCTGGTAATCCACCTCCACAAGAAGCTTGCTGCGCCCTGGCTGAAATGCCGGGGTGTCAGTGTGCATGATGCATTGCATTACTCCGCTGTGATTGGCCTCCGGAAACGTCCCATATCCCTTGAAGTCAAGTGGCCACTCTGGTCATTGTTTTGAACTTGGCTGTAGGCATGCAGATATCCCCTTTCAAAGCTCCGTTTCTGACAGCCAGCATGCTTATCTGCTCCGGGACAAAGCAAACCATTACTGTGGAATTCTCCTGCTGCAGAGGCAGGAGTTTGTTTGTTTGTGTGTGTGTGTGTGTGTGTGTGTGTGTGTGTGTGTGTGTGTGTGAGAGAGAGAGAGAGAGAGAGAGAGGTGGGGTGGGGGCTGATGTTGGGGTTTCCCCCTTCCCCTGTCTGAACTTACAAGACAGCATGCTGACACACTCTTCCCCCACAAAACACACTGTCTCTCCCCCCACATACACACACCACACTCTGTCACACTCCACCCCACCTCCCCATTTGAAAAGCATGCTGCAGCCACTTCCACACTGGGATAGCTACCACAATGCACTGCTCTCTGTGGCGTTGCAAGAGCTGCTAATGTGGCCATGCTTGCAGCTGACAGTGTGAACACATGGCAGTGCTTTCCCTGCTGCAGTCTCTGAGGGCTGGTTTAACTCCCGGCGCTCTACATCTGCAAGTGTAGCCATGCCCTAAGAAAGGGGATGTAGTGAGAATGTGTAATACTTACTAGAAAGCTATATCAGAATAGCTGGAGAAAGGGAAGAACACAGTGGAAGTGGCTTGAACTAGCGCTGGATTCAGTGTCCATTGACATCAATACAAAGCTTCACACTGACTTCAGTGGCCTTTAGATTAGCGGTCCCCCCTTCCCACCCCCAAAAGTACTGATGTGCTTGAGCTATAAAATTTGGATTGGGATCTAGAGTTTGAACCTCCAGGAGCTTGGGATGTTCAGCTCAGGATTGTTACAGAATAACAGCCAGCTACAAAATCCATCTCCAGATCTAGGTTATTTCATATCTGTGGGGCCTTTCTCTCCATGTAATATTACTTTCCCTAATGAGAGAGGCAATTTAATCCATCCATTACCTAGGGCAAGAATTTGTGAAGCCACTCTAAGAACATTATTAACTCAGGATTAAAAACACAGATAGAGGGTATATTCATTTAACTTCCTTACAGAAATATAAAACTATGAGTAGCTGATTCGGTCGAAATGATAGGGAGAGATGAAGTTAAGGGATGGAGAGAAGGAGGATGGAAACACAGGGAGGCAATGATGGCAATTGTGAGTGATTTGGGGGTTACGGTCTAACAAAGAACAGGAATAAAAACTTAATGAGCATAAGTGAAAACTGAAATATCCAGCAAGATGTGCTAAGAACTGGTGACAGAGCAGATCCATTAATAACAGAGGGAGGAAGGGTTAATCAAGAATGATTTTTAAATGGCTGAGATAGCAACTCCCATTTAAAATTCATCTTTCGCAGGAAAAAGAAGAGGTTTGAGCAATACAAAACTAAAGAAGACCTTGTCAGATAGCTATAGATAAAAATCAGGCAAGGAAATATCTGGAAAAGATAATAAATGAATCAATGGGTCTGGTTGATGTGCATGCTTGAAGTTTAAAGTAATTAATTCACAGACTTACTGAACCACTGCCAATTCATTTTGAAGAGTAATGGAGGACTAGGTACATACCAGGAGAAGGTGGTAGAAATAATGTAAATGTAGGAGGGGGAAACTAGTGCTCATATGGTGCCAGCCTTGAATGATCTGTTTTCCATTAATTTTTACTTCAATCCCTAGTAAAATAGTAGAACCAATATTATAATATGAAAATAAACATCTAATGGATACCAGACTCATAGCACTAAGGAACCATAGGTTTAAAAACAAATAATTTTGTCAGACAAATATGATTGCTTTTTTGTTAGAAGGGCAAATGCAATGGCTGGAGAGAACACAGTTGATGAAATGTGTCTGGTAGAGTTTCATGAATGTGTAGGCCAGAAGGGAGCATTGTAATCATGTAGACTGACTTCCCATATAACATGGGGCATAGAACTTTCCCAAAATTATCCCTAGAGCATATGTCTTTTAGAAAAACATCCAATCTTGATTTAAAAATAGCCCACCACAACCCTGGATAAAAAATCACCATGACCCCGATAAATTGTTACAATGATTAATTACCCCCTCTGTTAAAAATGTATGCCTTATTTCCAGTCTGAATTTGTCTATCTACAAATTCCATCCATTAGATCATATTATACCTTTCTCTGCTAGATTGAAGAGCCCATTATCAAATATTTGTTCCCCATGTAGGTACTTAATAGATTAAAATCAAGTCACCCTTTAACCTTCTCTTTGTTAAGCTAAATAGATTGAGCTCAAATCTATCATCTTAAAGCAGCATTTTTTAATCATTTAATCATTTCCTTGGCTCTTCTCTGAACCCACTCCAGCTTACCAACATCCTCCTTGTCAGGTATTGTCTTGTCTCATATATTCTGTAGAGATATGGAAGGCAGGGTAAACAGTAGAGCTGGGTGACATTTTTTAGCCAAAACTTTTTTTACAGGAAAGAGCAGATGCAGGTCAACTGAAACATTTTTGGGGGTTGTGTCAAATTCACTGACTTGTTTAGGTTAGGAAAATAAATCTAAAAAAAATCTAAACATTTTGATTTGATATTTTTGAAATGAAATGTTTTGATTTCTCAGTTTGAAATTTACTTAATTTTTTTTTAAGGAAAACATTTTAAAAAGCTCAATAAAACAAAACATTTTTGTTCAAACCAAAACAAATGTTTGGGTATTTTTACTTTTTAATTCACCAAAAAAAAAAAATGTTTTAAATTGATTTTTTTCCAGTTTTCTTGGAATGGCCAGCAAAGCAAAAAATCAATTAGTTACATAGCTCTAGTAAAGAACACTTCAGTTACATCGACAGATGATACTAAATAGAGACAAAAATCTAATAGAAAGGGGACATTTCATCTGTAGATATCCCCTTGCTCCTGCAGAAGGACATGGGGCGTCCATGTTTGAAATGGCATATCAGGACAGTGAATATACTATATGTACTGTCCCACCTGGAAAACAGCAAAGAAACTGCTTGATGTTGTATTAGTTTTGATGCACAGTTCATTCATCCAATGGAACCCACTTTTTGTACATGTTCCAGACCAGGGAATGCCTGCACTTGTGCTAGCACAGAGATTCTGTGCACGCTGGCAGAAGCCAAGATCCTTTCAGTCCTTTGTTTTGTGGGCGCTGAGGATTTCCATGTCACCTATGGAATGATCAGATGGCAACTGTGCAAGAGAAACCTATACTGTATCTTATGGGGACTACTTGGTGTACTTATGGGGACTATCTGCACTGCTCATGGTCAGAGAATAACAACATGTGATTAGATTGGAAAAATGAAAGAGAAGGACTTCACTCTATGAGCACTGATGTACACGAGTGACTTTACTCTTGGGAGTTGTCCCATTGAATTCAGTGGGGTTAATTGTGAGTAAAATTACTCATGTGTTTAAGTGTTTGCAGGATTGGGTACTAATACTGTGTATGTAGGAAAAAATAAAAACTGAACAGTCATTCAATGGAAGCTTCACATCTGGAAACAATACTAATAGAAATAGATGTGCTAGGAGTCAACAGGATAGATCTAAGTTATAATCAGCTATATGCATCTTAAGTATAATTTATGAGTAGTTGCTTATCCTTGCAGTTGATTGATGAAGAAGGATTAAGAGGCAATACTGAACCTATATCCACAGGTGCAGAGATCCTCTGGCAGTGGACTCTGTGCACCTCCAGTGTGCAAGGGGAGGCAGAGTTTGGGTGTGATATATAAAGAGAATTCCATGTGCAGCCATGCATATGTGGCATTTAGGGTCAGGGACAGAGACTCTACAAATAAGTGGCTCCTTCAGTCTTCTCCCTTACATAAGGGACATCCACCTACATCAATTAATTAATGGAGTAACCTCCCTGCAGTGGCTCGGCTGCTGCTCCATGGTATTGGGGATTTTCATGAAGATCCCCCAGTGCCTATCTGACATGTTCGAGCTAGGTTCTGGGCTAGCTCCTAAAAGTGTAATATGTGGATGAGGAGGACATGACAATTGTCTACGATGATCTGAAGGGAGTAAATTCTAATGGTGGAGAAGAATTGTTTGGAGTGGTAATAGCTGGAAGCAATAGCACAAAGTTAGAAAAAGTAACAATGAGGCTGTACTGTATATGGAAAAAGAGAACTTCTTGACAGTGAGCCCTGTTATGCTGTGGAATATTTCCCAGTCCCAAAATAGCTTGGACATTTCAAACATGGCTGGAAAAAGACTTAGAAAGTATACCATAAGGAATACTACTACATTGCCAGGGAAATTGGCTAGAATATCCAATAGGTCTGTTCCTTCTCTAGCGTCTATCATTTTTAATATAAATAGTCTGACATCTCCAGGAGATGATTCCATCTGACGCAATGAAAATAAGGAAGAGTTCCGAATTTGGCACTAAATCCACAGCTGATGTAAAATGACTTCAACTGATTTCAGTGGAACTATGCTGCTTTACACCAAATCTCAGGTAAACCTCTCTTAAAACATCCCTATTCTCTTTTGTGATGTCAATTCTTAGCCAAAGTCAAATAATTACCTCAAAGTTTTGAGTCTCACTCTCACTTTTGGAAGAATTAATTCAATCTGGTAAAACAATGTAATTCCAATCTGCTGCATATGTGGAAATGTATTTTGAAACTAAATGTGTCCTGTAGCACTGGCCTTTTTCTGTGTCAACTTATGTATAGATTTTCTTAGCATTAGGCTCTCACTTCAGAAAGCAGTGTGTTTCTCAGTCCAATTGGCTGGCATAACTTAAACAAGAGGTAGCTATTGCTACCATATGCAGCTGTATTACAGAACAGTGGGGCTTTCAGAAAGATGTATTTCTTCACCAGGCAGAAACTGCACACAGCTAGGCATTGATAACTGTACAGCTGGGATCTGATGGCATTATTCAATGGAACTGAGTCAGCACATCTACTCAGGCATGAAAAAGAGAAGAACTGTGTTTTAATCCTGTGACAGAACACAGTAAATTATCAAAGAAAATAAGAGGCTGGTGACAATATGCTGTTATGTTAAAGCCTTCAGAATTGAAAGCCTGAACTTCTTTCTACTGCACATTGTGACTAAATGTGGGAAGTAAAAAACATTTGGAGCACCCTCTTAGAGCAAGTTAAAGAAATTAGAGGAACCAAGTCTAATGCAGATGTGATGCTACAAAAGTGCTCTCTGAAGGGTTATGCCCATTATAAAAATGAGATCAAAATGCAAAGTTTAGATCCAGATTCATATCCAGATCCAAACTTCCCCAAAATTTGATGATTTTTGGAGCTGGGATTTGGTTTACAGACATCTCTAATATAAACGCTTGGTAGAGTATTTTTTTGTGAAGGTGGAAAGCATCAGATTTTTGTCGCTGCACTAGTCTTTATTTTTATGCTATGACAAGTTATATGGTACCATATATTGGGAGGAGTAACAAACCCAAAGATGAATGCTTTCAAACGTCCAATAATGACAGGTATCTAATATAAATACACTAGATGAAGTTATGTTTTTAGTTATGTGAACATGTATTTTTTTATATATATACACATATATACACACACACACACACACACTATATATATAGATGTATTTTTCTAAATAAACTTTCAAAAGAAACTAATTTAAAAATATACTAAAAAAATAAAATCCATAGTATTAATCAAATGTGATGCATCATTCCTAATGTGCCTTGTATTAGTCTGGGTCATTACTATAGAATGTTGCCCTTTTTTCTTTCTTTCTTTTTTTTCCTTATAAGGAGGATTTTTTACATAAAAATAGCAATGACCAATATCCAGCACAAATAAAGTATTGGGAATGTAAAATATATTTGGTCTTAACTGAATGAATTTTATACAAATAATTACAAGAAAATTTGGGATCCAGATTCTCTGTTACTGTAAATGGATAAAACTTCACTGAAGTCAATGGGGCTACAGCAGAAAGCGTACACCAGCATATAATATGCACCCAAATTTCAAGGCCACGGTCTATGGAATTATAGTTCTCTAAATCAGAAGAATAAATGTAACTGTTGGACCCTTTGCCCTGAACTATGTAGCTGATTTTTTAATATCAGAGGGGTAGCCGTGTTAGTCTGGATCTGTAAAAAGCAACAAAGAGTCCTGTGGCACCTGTTCTGTTAGTCTTTAAGGTGCCACAGGACTCTTTGTTGATTTTTTAATGCTATTTAACAAACTACTTCAGTTGGTTGAAGTGTTAGAACTCTTGTAAATGTCCACTACTACTATACACTACCTTGTGTTTCCATTTCTTTAAAAGAGGAGGGGACTCCATAAAAAGGAAGGTGAAGGTTTAAATATCAACATATCTAACTACTCTGTCTATGTCTTTCCTAGGCATTTCTAATGTGCCCTTTGGATTCCAGATGATTTCAGGTTGTGCTAACTAGTGTCTGCCTGTACAATTAAACTGTTCACTCTCAGGCACACCAAGGACTAAAGAAATTTGAGAGACCTAGAAATAGTTTGACAAATAGAAGTTGCAAAGTACAGTATTGCCAATTTATCATGAGTCTCATGATAGATATTTGGTGTTTTACATAAAACAGTCCTGACTGCTGCAGTTAGGAGATTACATGAGAATTTCAGTTTTTATCTAGAAGAAAATATGTTGCTAGCCATCATGGTTACAGAGAAAAGCTTGAAACGGTGACCATAAAGACTCTGATACCAGTAGGCAAATAAAAAGAACTCCACACTAACAGCATAGTGGACTGCAGCAGTTTCAAGGTCATGGAGAGGTCTTTACTGCTGCTGTTTTGTTTGACTGGCAGGTGGCAGAAGGAAGGGATGCTGTTAATTTCTGGAGGATCCTGGAGATAGAGAAGAGAGCTTGCAGAGAGGAAGCAGCTTAAGAGGAGGAAGCAGGAGGCACTACAAAAGTAAGGTCATCAAGTGAGGAGGCATATCAAGAGGGCTTACAGATGCTGGAGGTGGGCCAGAAGCTCCTGCCAACATGAGACCAATGACCATCTGTACAGGATATTTTCAGTATGTCGATATAGCTCAGATACTTGGTCTGCTGCTTCTGGGTTCCAGTCCTGCAAAGATTTGTACACCTGCTGAACTTTACACACTCGGAGTTGTCCCACTGAAGTCAGAGTTCGATTGTAAAGAGCAGGCACAGAAAAGGAAGCAATTTTTTGTTTTGTTTTTTGTTTCATATCACGCCCTTAGAGTGCCTCAGAACACTGGGGAATCCTGATTGAATATCCATTATTAGCAAAGAGTTAGTGTCCTTTTGCAGTAATGTCCACCATTCTGTGATATATTAACTAACCCAAAGGATGAAAAACTTATTTAGAGATCCCCTTCATTTTTTGTTGTCACATTTCCAAGTACTTAGCTATGGGCATGTACTGTGCAAAATTTACTGAATTTAAATTGCCCTCTATGCACATCACACAATGGCTTTTATATACAAAGTATACTGTTTAGCAAGGGAGAATTGTAAAGGACACATTATAATTTAACATTGGATGCATGAATGTAGCCTATGTTTTTCAGAGAACAAAGACTGACTTTTTGTAGACGTGTATGTTTTATTCATCACTGAATAACTGGGCTATAAGTGTATAATCTGTAACATTATTGATTTGCAATATGTGCATTTTCACTTTAGTGTTTGGCCACATTCAGTTTGCTTTCTACCATTATCTGTTGCTTACTTTATCTATAATTAAAGTGAATAACATTTCTTTAATGTACTTACTGTTGTGTAGCATTAAGTAGTAGTTATAGTCATAAAACTTCATTTGTCCATTGAAATCATAAGAAGATGTGGAAAGTGCCCTAAATACATTCTCTTTTACATTGCATAAATATAATGAAAGGTACTTTTAAATACATAAAGCATAATGTATTAACAAACATTTATTTTAATCTATAATGACTCAATGTATATAGCACCCCATTAATATCATTTTCATATGCTCTTTACAACCACTGGTAATGCAAAAAAGGAGTAGTTGCTGAGTCATGATATGGGCTTCAGTGGGAATAAACTGGCTATCAGACTTGAAGAAGAGTTCTGTTTAGCTCAAAAACTTGTCTCTGGGTATGGCTACACTTGCAGCTGTACAGTGCTATGAGTTAAACCTGTCTTTGTACAGCTGAGTAGGGAAAGCGCTGCAGTCTGTCCACACTGACAGCTGCCAGTGCACTGTCGTGGCGACATTTGCGGCACTTACAGCGGCATTGGGAGCAGTGCATTATGGGCAGCTATCCCACAGAGCACCTCTTCCCATTCTGGCGCCGTGGGTTGTGCGAAGGGGGCGGGGGGTGCGGGGCATTCTGGGTCCTGTCCCAACGCCCCATGATGCATCTCTTCGCATCCCAGCAATCCCTGTGTTTCCGTCAACATTTGGCGCCATCTTTCAACGCCATCTTTCAACGGTTTCTATACAGCACGGTCTGTGTTCCATTTCGGTCTGCGGGAAATGGAGCCCGAAATGCTGAGGAGAATGCTGATGAGTCTCGCCAGGATGTCACGTTTGGCAGTCGAGCTATTCCTTAAGATCCAAAGTGACGGTTAGGAGTCCGATGATGATATCGAGTCGCATAACGCGTATGACATGAAATTGCTTGTGGCATTCACAGACATGCTCAGCACCGTGGAATGCTGCTTTTGGGCTTGGGAAACAAGCACTGAGTGGTGGGATCACATCGTCATGCAAGTCTGGGATGATGAGCAGTGGCTGCAGAACTTTCGGATGAGAAAAGCCACTTTCATGGGACTGTGTGAGGAGCTCGCCCCCACCCTGCAGCGCAAGGACACGAGATTGAGAGCTGCCCTGCTGGTGGAGAAGCCGGTGGCTATTGCAATCTGGAAGCTGGCAACTCCAGACAGCTACCGATCGGTTGCTAACCAGTTTGGAGTGGGATCTAGAAGAACCATGACTCCGGGTAACGTGCAGGACATTGTGGATGGCTTTGCACAAATGGGTTTCCCTAACTGTGGAGGGGCAATAGATGGGACGCATAATAGATGGGACGCATATTCCTATTCTGGCACCATCTCACCTAGCATCCGAGTACGTTAATTGGAAGGGTTATTTCTCTATGGTTCTCCAGGTGCTTGTGGACCACTGTGGGCGTTTCATTGACATTAACGCAGGCTGCTTGGGAATCAGAAAGGGCAAGGGGTGGGGTGGGGAATGGTACAATCACAGATTTGCATATGTCCTCTCTGGAGTGCTGTGCAATGAGTGCTGCACTTCAAGATGGCTATACTGCATGGTGATGGGGGTTGAGTGCAGAGGGTAAGGGTCGTAGTTTTCAGGGCTGGGTGGTGAAGATACAGGTGTTGGAGGCAGCTGGTGGTGGTAAGAACCTGAATGTTGGGGAAAGTGGGTTGGCGGTGACATGGGGGCACAAGGGAAAGAGTTTTGGGACAAGGGCTGCAGGGCGGGGTGGGCGCGGTAGTGCTCTGCCTGCATGGCTACAAGCACCTGGATAGAGTCCACTTGGCGCTCCATGATGCTTATCAGCCGATCCGTGCTTTGCTGCCGGTGCTCCGTGCTTCGCCTCCAGTGCGCTGCGTTTTCCTGGCGGATCCTGCTTTCACTCTCCCTCCACTCCTGCGCTTTTTGATTCTCTGTAAGAGATTGATGCATCACTTGTTGCAACATCTCTTCTTTGCTTTTTCGCGGTCTCTTCCAGAGTTTTTGCAGTCTCTCAGCTGGTGATAACACGGACGGCTGAGATCTCAAGGTTGCATCTGTAACGGCAAAATGCAACACTAAACAGAGGCAGCATTGTTTATACCAGACAGAGTAATGATTCCCCCGCACTTAAGGAGGGCACACACAGTCTACACAATAGCATACTTTTCTCATCCCAAAGAGAGCACATATAACCCACGGGAGCCCCAAAATGGTGAGTAAGGGGGACTGATTGTTTCAGGGCTGTACTGTCCTCTGGGTTTCTGTGCCTTGGGGAGAGCCAACAGCTGCAGGGGGAACCTACACTGAACACTGTCCCAACATTTTCCACAGGAGTTCATCCTGAAAGGTATCTCACTGCTGAGGGTGATCTGGGAAGCAAGGGAGGGTCTTCTACTGCAAAGCGGCTTCCGCCCTGGCCCATATGCAGTTTGCCTGTGTGCAGAAATGGTCCCCCCACCCCTCGCGGCACAGTGGCGCGGACACATTAGCCTGACTGGGACAAGGACAACGGTGGCTCTCCCAATAAACCTGCGCAAGCGCATTGCCCACTTTCTGGATGAGACTTTCGAAGAGATTACTGAGGCCAATTACCGCGATGTGATAGACCACATCAATGCGCTATTCCGCATCTAGGCAAGCATGCAGCCCTAACCCTCCTCTCCCAAAGAGTCCGCACAGAAAAAATTCCTTCCCGAAAAAAAACTTCCCCAAAAAAAGCGCCGCTTACCGGGAACCTGCTCTTCTGTTTGTCCTCCACCAAGCGTTTGCGAACAGGGGCTGCTAACAGGGAGTTTCGCAAGGGAGTTCTCCAGGTGAAGGAGGAGCAATACAGCACCCTTTTGGGCGGACAGGGGGCTGCAGACGGGAGTTTGACAGAGGGAGGCTTACGATGGTTAGGAAGACCCGCAACACCTGTGCCAGCACTGCTTCTGTCTCCTCCACCTGCGCCTGTAGCCAGACAGAGCGCCTGAGCATGGATGCTTCTACCCAGATCCTGGTGTGGTTTTGCAGAGACTGTAACTTGCAATTTCCACTTACTGATATCCAGGCTGAGGGGACCATCCAATGTGAAAGGTGCCTGCTGGTGGAATCTCTCAGGCAGCAGGTGGGAGAGCTACAGGAGGAGGTGGCTAGGTTGAGAAGCATCCGAATCCACGAGCAATTCCTGGACAGTGTCCATGTGGAGACAGCTGAGGTAGCTGTCCCAGGACACAGGACTGCTGATACACCACTGGTGGAGGAGGAGATGGCTCAGGGTGGACACTGGCAGCTGGTTACTTCTGGCAGCAGGCAGTGCTCCACCCCTGCTCCGAACCCTCCCGCTGTGGTAATAGGTAACCGTTATGCTCTTCTTGATACAGGAAAGAAGGCATCACCCCCTACAGTAAAGGAGGAGAAGCCTCGTACCCCTAAGGCTGGGAGGTCTGCTGCCACCACTGCGAATAGGAAACGTAGGGTAGTGGTGGTCGGAGACTCTCTGCTGAGGGGGACGGAGGCGCCCATCTGTCGCCCTGACATTTCATCTCGGGAGGTATGCTGCCTGCCGGGAGCCCGTATCCGAGACGTTACGGAGGCATTGTCGAGGATTATCCAGCCCTCTGACTACTACCCCATGCTACTCATCCATGTGGGCACAAATGATACTGCACGGTGTGACACTGAGCGGATCAAGAGTGACTACAGGGCTCTGGGAGTACGGGTGAAGGAGTTTGGAGCGCAGGTGGTATTCTCTTCGATTCTTCCTGTCAAAGGTAGGGGACCGGGCAGAGACAGATGCATCATGGAGGTGAATGCCTGGCTGCGAAGATGGTGTCGCCAGGAGGGCTTTGGCTTCCTAGACCACGGGATGCTATTTGAGGAAGGACTGCTAGGCAGAGATGGTGTTCACCTTTCGAGGAGGGGAAAGACCCTATTTGGACACAGACTGGCTAACCTAGTGAGGAGGGCTTTAAACTAGGTTCGACGGGGACAGGTGAGCAAAGCCCGCAGGTAAGTGGGGAACATGGAGACCTGGGAGATGGGTCGGAGACGAGAGGAAGTGTGGGCTATATTGGCAGAGAGAAAGGAGGGTCAGGACAAAACCGGGAGGAAAGATCAAACCAGTATCTTAGATGCCTATATACAAATGCGAGAAGTATGGGTAATAAGCAGGAAGAACTGGAAGTGCTAATAAATAAATACAACTATGACATTGTTGGCATCACTGAAACTTGGTGGGATAATACACATGATTGGAATGTTGGTGTGGATGGATACAGCTTGCTCAGGAAGGATAGACAGGGGAAAAAGGGAGGAGGTGTTGCCTTATATATTAAAAATGTACACACTTGCACTGAGGTAGAGATGGACATAGGAGACGGAAGTGTTGAGAGTCTCTGGGTTAGGCTAAAAGGGGTAAAAAACAAGGGTGATGTCATGCTAGGAGTCTACTACAGGCCACCTAACCAGGTGGAAGAGGTGGATGAGGCTTTTTTTAAACAACTAACAAAATCATCCAAAGCCCAAGATTTGGTGGTGATGGGGGACTTCAACTATCCGGATATATGTTGGGAAAATAACACAGCGGGGCACAGACTATCCAACAAATTCTTGGACTGCATTGCAGACAACTTTTTATTCCAGAAGGTTGAAAAAGCTACTAGGGGTGAAGCTGTTCTAGACTTGATTTTAACAAATAGGGAGGAACTCGTTGAGAATTTGAAAGTAGAAGGCAGCTTGGGTGAAAGTGATCATGAAATCATAGAGTTTGCAATTCTAAGGAAGGGTAGAAGGGAGAACAGCAAAATAGAGACAATGGATTTCAGGAAGGCGGATTTTGGTAAGCTCAGAGAGCTGATAGGTAAGGTCCCATGGGAATCAAGACTGAGGGGAAAAACAACTGAGGAGAGCTGGCAGTTTTTCAAAGGGACACTATTAAGGGCCCAAAAGCAAGCTATTCCGCTGGTTAGGAAAGATAGAAAATGTGGCAAAAGACCACCTTGGCTTAACCACGAGATCTTGCATGATCTAAAAAATAAAAAGGAGTCATATAAAAAATGGAA